ACTTGTTGTTAATAGACGGAAATGCGGAATTGTATGAAAAATGTATAACGCGGAACATACAAATACTTTTACTAATATTTTACATCTCATTAAATTGATTTAGTAGAGTTTTATAATGGAGAAATAAAATCAGTGGCATTTAAGTATCTAAATTGGTATTTTTTTTTTTTTTTTTGATTTAATCAAAATATCACCAAGAGTTTTGTTTTTTTGACAGAAATAATATTGCTTTAACATTTTATATGATTAAGTATTTGTTATCACATACCATAAGAAAACTGTGTAGAAAATAGTAGTTTTTGTAGAAGCTTTCAGTAATTATTTAAAAAGAAATACTAAATTTAAATACTTATTAAATACCTAATTTTATATTTCTATACGATTGTTTAATTTAGAACCTATACATACAGCCCAGAATGCAAATATATACATATATATAATAAATGGTTTCTTGGGTATATTTAAAGCATAAATGATATAATTTTTAAATTTATTTCAAATGTGACAAATTGCAGTGAGGGCGATGATAATAATTAGAGCGTGAACATACCGATTAGTCCGAAACCGTCGGTAATATTACTTTGTCGAAAATTACCGAATCCATTGCGTTTTTAAATGGGAAACGAATTTGAATGATTACTTCGACTGAGGAGGTATGACGAACCAAGCTACCGTGTCCTACTCATAAAATGAAATTAATACATTTTTCAACAGCTATTTTTTAGTTTTAGGCTGACAATACGACGGAGAAAATTTGAAGTTTTATAAAATTTTAATTACAATAATAAAAATCCATCGCACTAAATGATTAAAAAAATATGAAAACATAGCATTAAAACGTAAGTATACGTTTAATAAAAAATAGTAATTTTGATTCATGATACAGACGCGTTTGCGTTATCAATAACAAGGTCGTCTACTCACGGGCCTCCGGAGTCCGGACGTACAATATTTGTCGTTGAATCGAAACTATAGTAAACATAACGTATGTAATATAAACTCGTCAGCACTATACTGTTTTAAAAATAATATTATAAGATTTAAATGTTTTTTTGTGTTTTTCACCATCGTAGCACGACTCGGTCTGTGTTATAAGGGTTTCGATCTAGGCATTTTGACTAACACATGTTTCGTGAGTTGCGTGTTTTTGCACGGATATTATACCGTTGTTGTTCGTGTACACACTGCCGAGTGCCGGGCCTAAGACCGGTGTAACGTCAATAAAAGTTTCACTTTCGCCGAAGCGCAGGACCGCCGCCGTCGAACCACGTGTTTGCGGTGCATAATGACCCCAAAAACGCTACGAGTACTATACACTATACAGTATACAGACGTAAATAGTAAAATACACAACGTTCGTGTATTATTATATTGATCTGGTAAACATTCGACTCTGTTATCACTGCGACTACCACGAGTCTAAACACTCTAAACTAAACGTGTCCGGATAATTAAATTCTCTGTTTATGTGTGTTTTTTAATTTAAAATATTGGATCCAGATATTAATAACACTGCAAGTAATTTAATACGATCAAAGAATATTATATTAAGCCTACTATGACCGCGCACGAGTTATTACTATTATTTATTATTACGTATGACTCGACCTAATTTTATTAAAGTACTTGACGTCATTTTGTATAATTATTGTCTATATAATATATATATATATATATATATATATAAATATTATTTACGAACTTTTGGTGGCTAAAAAAATTATAGTGTGCATTTTGTTTTGACTTTTGACGGATTTGATGAGAGTAATTATTTTTATTCAGTGTTGCTATTCAGTTTGTCTGGAATATTCGTTATAATAATATGATGTATTGATGTGTATCCGGCAAGTGTGTTCAAGTTTTTTCTATGTATAATAATCGTGATAAATAGTCAAAACTTGTAGTAAAAAGTTTAATAAAAACAAAAAAACTAATCTTATTTTTAAAGGATTATCTAATGTTTTTATTTAACAATAAATTTATTCAAATTCTGATGTTTGTATGTTTTAAATATAAAACCGTAAAATCTTATTTACAAATACCTACCTACTTAGATTTTAATGTAATTTAAAAAGTGTTATTTCATGAAATTCAATATATTACATACACGTAATGATATTGAAACTAATAAATAATGATACAACCTAATAAGAAATATTATAATATATTGCTTAAAATATATGTATAATAATGTGGCCTTCACTAATGCGACAGACAATTGTGTGGCCTCAGTTTGTCTCTCACACATCAGCCGCGCTGTAATGATCATGCTACAGCTGTCAACGAATATTGTTGTTCTGCGCAACGAATAAGACTTAGCAAACGTGGGAGTACTCATACTAATAACAACCTTGTGCTTGGTGTACCGTATAGACAAACCGGTAAAAAAAACCAATGGTAGGGGAACAATTTATATTGTTTGTATTTTAGCTGCAATATATGTACCTGTATAATAGTGTTATTCCCCAAATGTTCTATTTAATTTTCATTATTAGGTCAATATAATAAATAATAATAAAGATAAAGAATGATATAAATAATACATTCATATATTAGATGATTCAACGATTTTAAGAAAATGTATTAAAACATTATGAATAATATTTATTTACAATTTAAACATGATGTTATTAAAATTTTTAAAAATTATGAAAAAAATCAAATAATTACGTGTTCAAATAAAGTTTTATTTAATTATTTTATATAATTACTCGTACCTATTTATTGTAGGTACAGACATATAGTTATAATATTTATAATATTTTTATCTCTGTTGGATTAATCAAACTAAGAATAAATTGAATTCATTGCTTATTAATAATGTTATAAATTGTGAAGTGTGAACATACAACAGCAATTTAACATTTAACATTAATTATGAATACTGTTTTTACTATTTCAACATTAAATTTAATTAGTAATCAGTGAGTGTTAGATGTTGTTTATCATAACTATTATTATTATTAATCATTTAAAAATATATTCAGTTAAATATTTTTTTTGTGTATCATTTTATCACGATAATTATCTTAAAATATTAGAGTAAAATATAAGGAATAGACAGAAAAAAATAATAAAAATTTAAATTAATGATATATTGGTATAATAGGTACTTATTTACGAAGTTAGAAGACTAGACGAATGACTATCATAAGTTTTTTCTTTTATCAAGTTATGAAAAGGTAGTCTAACAGTTGTTACTGGCTAGTGGCTATATCAGTTACGATCGGGGTCAACAGTGAATTAAGTAAAAGAAATTTACTTGAGAAATAATATGTCTATAAACAACATAATCCAAAAATATTCAATCTATTTTTAGAAAAAATATATTTTTACTATTTTTATTGTTACTAATTTTTAAGTTTTTTTACTCTTTTAAATAATAACATACATTTTAAACACATACAGTATTCAAAAAAATATTTAGCTATTTAATAAGAAATTAAAATTGTATGTTGGCTTTAAAAAAAAGTAAAAATAATGACAATAAAAATATATTTGACTTAATAAAATGTAGTTTTTTAACGACTTAAAGTTATGAAAAAAAATATTTTCATAAACGTAAATAGTTTATTAGTACCTATTTGTAATAATAAAAGTCTTATATTAAATGGATATGATATTATGGTGACTGGTAGGTAAATTTGATTGATTCAAATGTTTAGCATTAAGTGAAGAGAAATTATTGATGTGGCTTAAATTGCATACGATTTGATGATTATGTTGCTTAAACAGTTTTATAAGTGATTAATATTTAATAATTGTAGCTGTTATGAGTTAAATTCCTGTTATGATTAAAATAACGTCACGAATAATAAATAGTTAATACAATAACACCTATTTGTACCTACTGCATCTATTATTTTACTTATAGTAAATATACTATATTTATTTAATAAATGTTTAAATGATGAATGATGATTGTTTAATAATAACTAATAAATAATTATCCTAAATTATTAACTGTATAATGATTTATTTAAAAGAAAAATATTTTTAAGTCTATTTTTTCAGCTATAATTTATCAACATATTTATATATCTATATGGTAGATTATGATTTATTATTTTTTTTGGTTGAAAAGGGTTGAATTGTTGAAATTATAACGAATAAATGTATAAGACTTTATAAAAAGCTAAAAAATAAGTATCTGTATATGATAATGATGATTATTAAAATATAAACAATATACTAATTGCAGATCACAAATCACCCTACTACCTATAATAATTTAACCTGTATCTATATGTTGGTTAAAAATGATTTCAGAAATAAATAATTCTAATAAGCTATTAGAGGAGTTTCACAATTCTTAATTTTTTATAATATTCTTTATCTATATTGTGATACCAAGTATTCTTTTTATTATTATCGTAAAAACATTTTTACCATTAATTTAATATTGTTTTTATTTAACTATAAGATCAAGAAAATATGTGGGAATAATATGTTTATGGTAGACAGTAAATACGTCACTACTAAATATATTTCTTATGACTTACAAATAAATATTACTTAATGGCTTAAAATATGGAATTAAAATAGAGTCATAAGTTATTGATAGCCTTTTCTGAGTTTTTAAAAGTATGTAATTTAGATCTAAATGTATCAGTATAAAATAAACTTTTGTGAAATATATTTTGATTTGTTTAAATATGACACGGTTTAAATAAAATTGCATATGCTATAGGCATTTATTGGTAAATGTCTAAAGGACGTTTATGTTATATTAAAATCGTTATTGTTAATCATTTGCAATGTTATAGAAAGTAAGTAATAAACCTTTATGACCATAGAAAAGGTTACCAACCATTTAATAACTACTTAATAACTAATAAGTAATAGATAATAGTAAAAAGAGTGTATAATTATTTCTGAAATCTATAAGTTCAAGAGGTTTGTTTTCTCTTACTATATAAGCCGTTTAAAAACTTTTTAAGGGTTTAATTGCACACGGAATTTTTCATCAAAATCATAACTACAAAAAAAACATATTTTCCTTAGGATGTTTTATCATTATTACCTTGTAGCATGTAAATTGTAGCCTGATATTCTGCTAATTTTTCATCAACATAATCCTGTGATTGTTGCGCAATTATTTCCGCTGTTGAACGACCATCGGTCATATTTTCTTCGTCTGACCACTGTTGCGGTGACGGAGCTTCGAGTACCACAAATTCTCGAGGTCTATACGACGGCATTGATGTAGACGGTTCATATACTTGCGGTGATGGGCACTTAAAATATAAAAATTAATAATTAAAAAGTGTGATGCATAGCAGGTACTAGGCGTAGTTCAGACGTGTGCCACTAAGGTAAATAGTTTTGAAATCTAAAAGCATCGATAAAATTTGTAAAGTTTATAAAAAATATTCAATATTTTATTTTTCGTATAAAATCAGCACTGGTCTAATATTTTTTCATTATTACATATTAGTATTAGTGTGTCATATATTATAAAGAAGTCAAAACATTATTGACTCAAAGTACAACTTATAGTTTAATTCATAATTTTATAACGAAGCTGCATAAAATATGTCGAATATCATATCTTTTCATAAAAATAAAAATGGTATGATAGTAATGCTAAACAAAATAAAATCAATACTCTGCTGTAATAAAATAATGTGAAATTTACCGGTGATGGGTATCTAAAAGGTTGTGGTACAGTAGCAGGCAATGGAGATGATGTGGGTCTCATCGGTTTTGGGCAAGGAATGTACGGTGGTGGGAGACGGTGGATCGGCGAGTGTCGTGTTGGAGTCGCAGGTCTGAAAGACACAGGCGGAGAATTCACCGATGGTGCTGGTGCCCAGCCTTTAGGATGTGCTGGAGGTCTTGACATTACGCAAAATGGATAAAATTAACCTAAAACAGTGATATAATAATAATGTATTATTACTTATTAATCATTTCATATTATAATATTATTAGTTATACTCTACACGTTGTGCTTAATAGTTATTAGTAATAACTAATAACTTATACCCGCGACCTACGTGGTCATATTAATAATAACTGTATTACTGTTATATTGAACTAAAAAAAATTTATATAAATATCATGATATTAATATTATAATGTATAAACACAATATTTTATTTTCTTAATTTTAAATGTATGTACCTAAGTTGATATTTATATCTAAATTAAATATTAATCAGTATAGCAATATATTTACTTTTGATAAAAATATACACAACAGAACGACAATAAAATTCCTTAAGATTTTTCTGTTTATTAGGTGCATAAACATGCTGATCCCAACCTTGGAAGAAAACCGGGACCCTTTTAATGTGCTACACTTTACACTGCTTACATTTGGACCTGCTATTATGAGTTTGACTATCAGCGTTTGTGTAGAAAATTGTATTGCAAGAAATTTAATAATTTTTTCAAGGCAGGGGTGCCTGGGAAAAGGCATTCTTATTATTTTCTCCTTTACTAATTAATAACTATTATAGTAAGAAACCACTGATAAATAAATTATATGATTCTAAGAACCAAGACTCACACTCTACTATTATATACTTATCGCAACACAATAGTTCTTAATTCTTATAATTTATTAACAAGACATAGTTATTAACTTATTTTAATATACTTCCATTTTAGTCACCACATGTTTAATTTTATTTTAAAATACTTGATATTCTGCACATGACATGAATACGAATGCAATAATAATAAATATATATATATAATAATTAACGATTAGCTGAAACTATTTTTGTTCTATTTGCATTTTAACATAATATATTTTTAGTTTAATCGTTAACTTTAGATTCTGAGTGGAGTGATAAATGTATTGGTTTTAAAATGTATGTTTTGTATTTTAAATTGTAGTTTAAGTCATTACTATTCACTTATTGGAGTCGCAGTAAAACAGTTTTAAATTTTACTTTTAATGGGGGTTTGTAGACAATTGAATATAGATGCTAGTATGCTACTATGAAATTAAAAAGATAAAATTCATAATACTCATGATCGAGAAAACTATATTATAAAATATTATAAAACCCCGAAATGTTTACGTTAAATTATATTTTTAACGAAATAGATTCTTTTTTTTATGTAATTTAAAAATAAAAAACTATAAGAACTTGAATTTTTTATTGAATAGGGTATTTATGTTTATGAATTTTACATTTTATATACGTGTTTTTAGACTTATTATAGCTTAAATATATTTTGGCACTTTTTTGTGTTATTTATAGAACTTTGAAAATTTTTTTTTTTAATTTTTTTTAGATAAAATTTTATTTTTCTGTGAAGAAGCTTTAAAATTTGATATGCAGTTTTTTATAAGTTCTTTTTACCCTATTTAAAAATATCACAAATATATATTCACAATTTTTTTCAAAACGTTTATAGTTAAATACTTATAGAATTCATCAAGGTCACGAAAATTTGTAAAATATTTTGTAGTTAAAAATTCATAAAACTTTTAAGCTTATAATTGAATGCAAGATTCCATATAAGTATTTTTTACTGAAAATTAAAAAAAAAAAACTTTATCGCCAAGTCCCATAAAATGTTTTATGAGTGGCTATTGATTTTTACGATATTGGATATTCAAACATTTTAAACGTGTAATAAAAATTTATTCTCTTACAACTTTAATTATTTTGTAATCACTCAAAAGTATTAATTAATTGTAGAAACTTCGAACATCTCACTTTTACTAAAATAATCATTTTCTATATTATACAAAAGAATTTTTCATAATGTTTAGATTAATTTCAAGCTATACATGACATTTTAAATTTTAATAGTTTAACTTGAAATTTAATATAAGGTTCTTCATAAGCTGTTCTTACAATAACCCCTAAAAGTCTTAATAATACATTAACCTATATCCATTTTTTTTACAGACATTTCAAGTTTAAATGACAATGAAATCGGATATTTATATGAAAAATAAAGATTTAAGTTATGTTTTGTAATTCAGCAATGTTATTAGAAGGAACTTAAACTTTTCATTACTGCATAAATTATTATTTACTACATATTGACATTAAAAAAAAAAAGTAGTTAAATTTATTTTATGTTATTAAATGTTAAATGTTAAATGTATAAGTATAAATACCGATATTAATATCAGTATTCATTTATAATAAGTTATAAATTAATAAAAACAGTGAATTATATTATATGATATAAAATATGATTATAATTTTTAATAAATACCTATTTTATAATATAGTATACCTATAAGATTTTTTTTGATAAAACTTATTTAACCAAAAATATTATTAATAGAAAAATAAATTACTTAAAATATTTGACATTACAAATATATAATAACATGTTTATAGAAGCAGTCTATGAGTTTTCTTTCAGAATCATTTTTCGTATATCTATATAATATAATATATTATACTAAATTGTTTATCGATTTATTCAAAATACACTAGCTCGATAAAAATTTTTAAAACGAGAAATTTCAAAATAAAATTGAACATGTTATGACTAAAATGAATACAATAATAATTATTAATTATCATATGTAGGAAACTGGACAGTAGATGCTTACTGTCTAGTGTTTACTGCTTATACTTATTTGAATTTATAAGGGGAAGGAAGATTAAATAGGATGTTTTTATAGGTTGGTAGTTGTTAATCATAAATACGGCTATGACGAGTTTTTAATTTAAAGAAATGATCTTTATATTATTTTAGTATTTAAATAGTTTTTTTTTAAATTTAATTTAAGCTATTAAAATTAAAATTATATAAACGATTCACAGTAATTACTGCAATATTTTGTAGATAATATAGGTAAAAATAAACAGTAAAATTGGTCAAATTAAATATAAAACTAAATTCTACTTAATGTCATGAACTTATTTATAGTTACTAAAGTAAGTTTAATATATTTAATGAATATCTATTTATATGGCTAGATTATGAAGTAGTATGTAAATTAATATTAAAATAATTTAAAAATGTACTTATAGTGCTTACTTTTATCTTATCCATATTTAGATACTAATGTTTAAACATATTTTATAAATGTATTAAAATGATGGATGAACTAATAAAAATAAATAAGAAAATTAAATAAATCTTAACATGGTTCAATAGGTACTAATATAGTCTATATAGGCAGTGTAACTAACGATTTTCAAAGCTAAATCTATATTAATTCATATACTTCTGTAGTTAAATTTATACTTGTATTCAATATTTAAATTTGCTTAAATAGTTAATTATGTTTACAAATAAGAAGATAGTTTAATATTGCAAAGTTATTCGATTAATAATGAGTAGATATAAATAACTATAAATTATAATCAGAAATATGCAATCTTCTATACTAATAAGTAATAACTAGTATTAATAATTATCATAAGATATGAATCATACGCTATAAAGAATTTAAGATAATTGAAAAATATTGTGTATATTATTATGTATTGATGTACATGTATCCATAATATGTGTTTTGTATTAAACATCATTGCATTAATATATATTAATATATTATACATTTTAAGCTAAAAATGCTACCTACTTGACATTTTACAATCATTTTCCATAACTTATTGTTACCAGTATTTTGTTTTTAGTTTGCATATTCATTTTAATGGCTTTATTCAGAAATAGACATAGTTCTGGGACTCATTGTTCTTAAAAGTATATACCTATAGTAGTACAATTTAACTATAATGACTATAATTGCTAATAATATATAATCATATAAGTATTAAGATTAGTGAGTAGTAAAAAACCATTATTTGTTAAGTACCTATTTTTCATCTATTATATAAGTACACCTTAAACATTTTACATTAAGGTTTTTTTATTTTTTTACTATTGTGTATATCCATACATAAAAACTAATTTGCAAAATATCGTAAAAATACCATTTTTAATGACAACTCTTAAACCATTTAATGTTTGTGATTTTAAATTAACATAATTCAGATCATATAATGTAAAATTATTAAAATTAAAGTAAAGTACAATATGTATAAACTATAAGGTGTTTAAATATAAAAACAATATAAATAGATAAATTTAATAGAATCAGTTAATAGTGTTAATACGTTTATATAATATTAACAAGCAATTTTATTTGAAAATTAAACCATTTTAATATGTTTATCATAATTTATTACTTATTATTATTTATGTTTAAGTTGTTAGAATTATTAAATTTTTAACAAAATTTTAATAGTTCCATTTATTAAATGTATATATTAATGTTTGAAATTGTAAACAAGTTATTTATGAGCCAAATCTTTCACTTATAATATTTTTCAAAGGGAACTTCCGAAATCAACCTAGTTATTTGGCAAATGATTCAATTGCAATGGACAGTTGACGGCTTTTTTTTTATAGCTTCGTTGAATAGTGAGACTGTGAGAGTGACTGTGTAGTAATATATTATTTTTTAAAAAATAAAACAAATAAATAGATAATACTTTTTTTTAAATTTTTTTTAATTAAGACTTTTTTAAACTTTAAGTTTAAGTACCTATTGTGTTTATAAAATTTTTTTTTTATCATGTTATCTAACTTTATTTTCATTTTTTATACCATAACTGTTTAAAATATAATATAATATATTAAATATTTGTTTATGAATATTACAAAAAATATATATTAATAGAATTAATGCTAACTTTTTTGTGGTGCTAAGAAATGATATAAATATTTATGAATGTAAATATTTTAGATTCATATATAATGTATACCTTCTATGTATTTGATATATTGATTATTTAGTAATTAATTATTTTATAGTCTAATTCCTTTCTTTTTTTTTATAACTTTTGTACAATTAAACACACACGCAATAAATACGGTTTTAAATTAAATTCAAAATTGAAAGATTAA